CTTAAGACGCTTCATTAATTGAGATTTATCGATATTTTTTCCCTCGAGCACTACACCAACTGAATTAATAAACACTAGAACTGAAGCGTATTTGGAAACTGGTTTTTCTCAGAGTATAACAAATGTACAATCAGTGGGTCCCCAATGTGGCGACGGAAATATCCACTCCTCTTCTGCTCTCTTTACAAATCAGATACGAAAAAATTATTGTGATAAATTGTAGATACTGTTGTAGAATTGATGGCCTCTGCAGGCTGCGACTTCTCATCTATCAGGGAAGCGAATGATGGGGACGCGTGTGGCAGAGCTGTAATTTCGCTCATTATCCGCCTGAAGCAGACTAGAATTCACTATCAACCTGTGATGGTGTTAATTTTCGCAAGAAATGCCATCAACTTTCTACATGTGGGCTTTTTCATACTGATTTTTGTTCTTTTCCCATTTCCTTAATGTATTTACCCTTTATCGCACAAGCTGGAGCCCCACGGCCATGTATAGTCTTAAGGCAGATATTTGAGGTAATTCTGTGGCAATGGTCAATCCAATTTAGCCACTTCTGTCTTGTTAAGGAACAACTAAAGTCTCCTCTTTCAAGGAATACTGTCAAAGGTTGTTGTGTGATGTGCGTCTACAACCATGCTCACATGGCAGATATCCATCCGTTAACTGTCTCATATGGACAGCCAGACCGCTTACAGTCTTATATATACAGACACTTTGGAATGAAGTAATCTATCTAATATTGTCACAGTTTCTGTGTATTGGCTTGTAAGAAACATTACAAAGACCAACAGGCAATTATTGTTTCTAGAATATTTATTTATTTGTAAACAGGACAAATTTTGTGAATATGTACACATCAGATATGTTACTGTTACTGAAGGCCCTTGCATATTATTTCTTGTAAGTTACACAAAGCCTTTCTTATTGCAAACACGCATGCAGTCATTATAGAATTTGACCTATAACCTGATGACCTATTGATCCCAGGATACAAGAGGCTATTGTAAACTCCCGCTACAGCTTCCGAAGCAACCGCAAAAGTTCAGAAAATATTACTGTGATTCATATTAAAAGGTATGATAAATTAAGTCCATGAAAATTTAAATTTTATTTCAATCTTAAAATCATCTTGTATATGGTTGCAAATGACAGTTCCAGACAATCTGTTTCAGTCACAAACATGTGTTGGGACAGGTACTCGTGAATTATTCAGTACCATCTCATACTGGTACACTTCATTTTTGAAATTTCTTTTACATTCTACCCATATTTTTTTGTCTACATATAAACCGCACTGGTATAAGCTGTATGCAGACCACTACAGAAAAAGCTGCAGATTATAATGCAGACAATTAAGTATTTCAGTTTTAAAAGGATATACCAATGAGTCAACACCGTTAGTGCTGGTAGGTTTGGGAGTGGGTTCCTTCACTCTTCAACTGGATACCTCAGAGTATGCAGGGTGATTGAGCTGTCAGGAAAACCAAGTGAGGAATATCAATCACAACAGCATCAGAGTGAGTTCTTTAGATTTATTACTAGCCGTCAAGCAGTTTTGCCCTCACCGAGCTTCACCAGGACAACAAACAAGATTTCTTAGACTTAGACCTACCCAGTTAAATACTGAAGATACAACAAACTCTGAGAAAAAGAGACCAAGGGTAGAAGGGACCGTGGAGAGGGTCAGCCTTTAGGCAACGGTGGTACCGTACTTTCAAGCTCTCCATAAACTTAGCATCCAAGCACATCAGTGCCAAAAGCAAACCCAGTTTCTTAAGTTGTTGTGCTTGCAACTATATATATACATCATAATTCCTTGTCTACTATTTATAGAATAGGGTGCTGCAATTTATATACTTTAGGTTTAAGAAATCTTACGTTTGTCATCCTGATGAATCCCGGAGAGGGTGAAACCAGTTGACAGTTAGTAATAAATATAAGAACTTGCTCTGATACTGTTGTGATTGATAGTCCTCACTTTATTTCAGTTTTTGATACACCTGAAAGAAGATTCCAGGCGATAGCTTATCTTGCTCTCATCACTCAAAAGAATGTTGCTTTGTAACAATATGAATTTTTCATGAATTAGGCAGTAATTGTTAATTTTCTTTCGAAAAAACATCAACAAAAAGCAAAAAAAAAACTTAATGTGACAATACTATAAGAACCACACTGAACAGAAATTAATCCATTTGACCAGCTTCATTTTTAAAATACAAATAAGATACCCCTGCAATCATTCCTTCATGGTAAATCATAAAATGAAGAGGAAATTATGGAATCATTTTTAAAGTGGTTCACTGAGCTTGAAATGTACTTAGTTATATAACCATGTATAACATTCAACCTTTAGGTAAATATTCCTTTAAAGTATTCATCTTCTGTTTGAATACCTATATATTCTGGATATGGACGTCATTTTTGAAGCAAATATTACTTTGGACTGAAGTCAGGAGTTGGGCTTAAGGCAGGACAATGTAATAACATTATTTGTTTATTCTTCTGGGTAGCCAATAAAGATGGTCCTCTTATTAGGCATGGGCTTATTGCTGGATAAAAATAGCACAAGAAGTTACTAGAGGTACGAAAAAGGCTGTCCGAGATTCACCTATGTAGATAATGCTTTGATGTAAAAGTTTTGAATGGAGCGGAATCGATGAGAGACAAATTTGTATGTAATAGTTTTAATTAGGTTTATATGTTGAGACAAAAATTTCCTGTTGACTCTTTAGTTCTTATGACTGTAAATGAAGCAACTTATTTTTCTAAAGTGGCTGGATATAGTGGATAGCCTGGATTACACATGAGTACATCTTGTTTCATATTTAAACAGAAATCAAGTTGTCTTATTGCAGCAATAACTTGACTGTTCTAACTAGATTTAGATGTCTGTTTCAGTAGATCTCTTTATCTGTAGACTGTAAAAGTTTACATTTGTGCAAATCCTTTCATGTACACTATAACATTGGTCCACAAAAATAGATCCCAAGTTTCCCACAATAATTGATGATGCAAAAAACATAGAACTGATTCTTTTATTGTATCATAATACAGTCTAGCATTCTACATTGAAACTGTGTTAGTGTTGTAGGCTAGCTGCTTTCGACAAGTGTTGCATGTATTGGACAAATAAATTGTGACTAAAGCATCTCTAACTTTCCAATGTATTGGTCGACGTATTGAGAGAGATTGCCAGTCCTTAAACCACTACTGGGTTCATTCAGCTACGACATACGCTAGACTTCTGCAAGACTAGGAAGAGAAATACAGCAAATTGACTGACATAAAATAAGATAAAAGAGTTATATAATGTTTCTGTAATAACTCCTGATGGTCTGATGAATAGGGATTTGGTAAAGGTCTTCAAGTTTAGTTCTTCGAGATTCCTAATTAGATATTTGCCCAGTGGAACACAACAATATTTAAGGGTGAATAAGCATAAAATCATGATTTATGAATCCAATTTAGCCATATATGGCTCTCCAACCGTCCACTATCAACCACATGTTATGTAATATGATTTAGGGTAAATAACCATATTTCTGAAATGGTTTAGGTTATTATATCTTTTTTACTTAATCAATGGGCTAAACATCTGCTGTTACTGCTTTGTTGCCTTTCAGCAGACTCGAAAGTACTTTGACTTTTTGAACATAAGGGGTACTGTTGTAAAAAAAGTTCTTAATCTTGGAGGTAAAGTGTTTCATTTGATCAAGTAAATTACCTTGATAAATTTCAAGGATTCACAGATTAACTTTATAAAAGTTGTTAAACTACTTCCTCTAAAGAACTATAAAGACAAGCGGTGATGAATATTTGGCTGAAGAGTTGACATTCTGTTTGGTGAAATTGTTACAGGAAAGAAGTGTAAAGAGATTGTCACACAGCTTCCTATAAATAAGGAAGATGTCTACACTAATGACATTATAACTTGCTGGAGTGAAGAATTAGGAGGATACAAGTAAAGTTAAATTGAGTCATATGTTCAGACTCATGAATCAGATGTTTTATTAGACATACTAATTACTCTGTAGGTTACTGTTGATCAGTAACTATCAACAACTAACAGCACTGTACACACCAAGGTAAAGTCACATTTACTTCAGTAATAGAATCATTACATACATCAGAATCATGTCACAGCTGTCTGAGCAAATGAATCGGAGGTGAAGAAAAAAACATATTGATGTATTGTACTGTGACCTTTAACCTTAAAACTGTTCATCTTCACCCAGTGTTTCCCTATAAGACATATGGCCTCTGATCATTCAGCTTAAGCATTGGATTCCTTACCTGTCATTTTTGTCCTATTGGCCAGAGCCAGGGAAAGTTTACAGTATTGCCAAATCACTAAATTAATGCATTAAACAAAATTTTGTCATGTGTAAATGCATGTAACAATTACAGATGATAATATAAGGAGGATTTTTCTAATTCATCAGCATTTAAAATCATTTATAAGCCACAGTAATAGATAATATGATGTGGGGATATTATTGTGAAGCTTTCACAGAATGTACAATTTGTATGTAATGGTGATATTGTATGTAATACGTGTAATGTTGACATCCAAGTCTAAATTAAAAAATACAAACTTTAGACTGCAACTTCTACATGATTCCAATCAGCATGCAACCATATTGTAACATTAGACAAAAAAAAGATAGATTTTGTTTGTATTTTTCATGCAGAATGAGAATTATTTATACCATAAAACTGTTTAGTGTAAAATTCATGAGCTGGTAAATAATGTTGGTAGGTATGCGGGCATTGATCTGTAAAATGGTTGTGACCCTACAAATAACTGTGTGACATATCTTTAAACATGTACAGGTGTTTGTATACACATACCTCCACACATGCTTTACAGTCCTTGTTGACAAAGCTCATCAGGTTCATCACCGCATTTATAGTGATAGGTGAGAATTGCAAACTTGTGTCAGCATATTATGTTGTAAAATGTCATATTTATTACTCGTTAATTTTTTCTATTACAGGTGAACAGAAGATAGCAGATTGTCACAATGTGTGGGTGCTGCTGTGCTAAGGTAGGTTGTTGCTCTGTGCAATGAAGTGTGCAAGGCCAAGGTATATAGGGATATCACACAGTATATTATTCCTGAACATTCTGCTGTCATGTTTAATGCAACTGTAACTTAACATACTTTATAGTTCAATTACTGATAAATTATGCAGATGTCTTTAGACATCTTCAATACTTGTGGAAAAGAACAATGGAGAAACCTGAGCATTTTACCAGAGTTATAACACATCACTGCTATACTATCAACTTCTCATGTAAGATATGTGCATTTCCCTTTGGTCTTGAAATTGAAAATGAAATACTTGTGTAGATCAGTTTTCTAAAAGAAATGTAAATATATATACACACACACACACATATATATATATATATTCAATTAATGATCTGTTTTTAAGTTTGGGAACAGATTATTGTGAAGGACTTGGGCTTGGCCTAAATATACGTATACCACAGTCCTCAGCTACAGTCTATCTGAAGCATGTTAAGAGAGTAACATCGTCACTACAGGTGAAATTCCTTGTCCAAAGGGACACTATTATGGATCTTTTCTTATTTATTAGGTTAACATAGTCCAGTGAGATGGTACATAAAAATAGATTGCATTAAAATTAGGGTAATGCTTCAGTTTCTAATTTGATAAGTATAGAATTGAAATTTGTTCTGGACAAGATTATTATCAGATTATCAAGGCATGCAAAGAATTTGGTATTACCTAAAGGTAAAATATTTAGGTAGAATTCTTGTACTTGTTCATCATGAACCTATATAGCCCTTAACAATAGAGACCATTATAGAACACTTACTGTTTCTGGATATCTATAGAAATACTCTAAAGTTGCTATTAACTTTCCTGTCATTTATTGTTTAGTGTTCTTAGATATTCATATTGTCTCTGTTGACAACTGTTTTTATTTTGCCTTAGGTGATTGGAATGAGCCATTATTTATTTTAGGACATTTATTTGCTATGTTTGTGTAATTTAGGGACCCATATATTGACTGAAATAAAACTAGCTCTTAAGGTGTTCCCCCCCCCCCCCCCCCCCAAAAAAAAAAAAAAAAAAGGAAAGGAGCAATTGTTTTCCAAATTGTAACGCTTGTTCTTCAACTGACTAATGCCATAAACACCAATTCTTGCTCTTTTGGTGAACGAGCTGTATTTGTAGTTTCATTATTGATTCATGGACATTGACACATCCAGGTCAAGTTACATGGACTGGATGACCTTTCTGGAGCTAATAGAAAGAGTCTCTTCAAATGAACTGTTGTCGCTTTTTTAACAAGAATGTAGATGACAGATGTCTGGAAATTCTTTAATCGTGATGTATGCTTTCTGCAAGCACTTTTATTGACAACTGCTCATTCCATCTTAATTTAAGACTTTTTTTATATAAAGATCACTTATTTTGTGTCTGGGTCAAAAGAAGGAAACATATTGACAGGGATAATTGCATACTAAGGCTTTGACTTAACTATAATGGGGTAGTTGAGCTGTTCACACCAGCGTATTTATGTATGTAAAATACATTGGGACATATCTCAATGTTATCCAAATCTAGGCAAAGATAAATGGCAAAGGGGCTTGAAAATTCCTGGAATTGAAGCTTTAAGACACAAAATCTGTGACATCCATCTACATTATACGTCGGAGACCGAATGTATTAGAGGAATCATTGATCAACCCACAATTCTACTGGAATGTATGTCTGATTATAATCCATGTCAATTGATATAGATTACATGGGCGTTTTTGCTTGAGGGAAATACGTAGGGACTTTTATACAAGGCGAGAAAACTCCTTCAGTCCACACATCTGTAAGATGTTTAATTGAATCTGGCTAACTGAAATTCAGAAAACTACTAGTTGTTTTTTTTGTACTGAATTAGTTTTAAAATGTACAAAGCTGGTATTTGATTTGAAGAATTATGAAGGTCTTTATATATATAATAAAATATCTCTGATTGTCAAGTTTGTCAGATGTCAATGTACCACGCCTCATATCATCATATAGATTACATTACTATTCATCACACTGTAAAACCAGTCAACATGTTCTAAACTTCAGGTATGGGCCTGATGAAATCTAGATCACTTTTCAGCTGCATGGGATTGACAATACAAATAACACAATAGATTTATCAACTGGTGGCACTAATACTCAGTACTGCTTGTTCTTTGTGTAGATATTCATTCAGACTTATTGAACACATTTGAGTATGATAAAAGTAGTTCACTAAATGATAAAACAGTTACTAATCTGTTGATATACCATGACTATTTCACCTGTCATGGTGACTCCAGCTTCTGCCATGCATAACAACTTTTTATTTGAAGAGTATCATTCAGGGGTGAAAGCCTATCAAATTTGTTGAAGTAAATTACCTTGCCCCATTTTACAGTATCACAGACCTTTGTAAACAGGTTGAAAGCTCAAGTTTTATTCTCAAGAATTGCAATGCCTGGAGTAATACGAACCTTCATCCATGAAACCTACATGTAGATTCTTGATCTTTAGCTGGCTTGGCTGATGGATTTACTTTCAAGTTTGTTCAGTAAATTACCAACAACACTATTGAAATGGTGTGTTCCAAGTAATTCTCCTTATAAAGTATGCATAGTAGAATTGAGACATTTTGTTTATTGCTTGCTGAAGTAAAAGGCTGTCCAAATACATTTCCTTGATCCATGTTAAAGGTCACAGGGGTCAAATGTGAAAACATCTCATAGAAAAGGTACAAAAATGCTTGACTCTTGGAATTTATAGTTTCAGGTGCCAAAGGCAATAAATTAAATGCTAGCTTCCACAGCTTTTTACTTCACTGAAGATATATAGATGCGAACACATGCATATGATGAACATAGATGGTCAATATTTGTGTAAAAAATTTCGAGTTTGATATTGATTTCTTTGTGAATTTCTACTGCTTCTTGACCACAAGCACTATTGTTATATAGGATGGTGAGGAATTGGAATTGGTGGTAAGTATGTACATAGCACAAACAGATCACACAGGTGCGAAATATTTCAGTCTTTTTAGACAGATGTTTGCTTTCGAATGTACATTGCCCATAGCTACCTTATATACTTTTGAAATAACCAATTAAGCATTTACTACTGCAAGTGCCTGACTTTGTACAGCTGTGTATGGTCAAACTGCTTGAACCATTTACATGAATTTCTTAATCAAATATCTCCTTAGCACGAATTTGGCTCATATTAGTTAGAAAATAAAAATTTAAACAGATATTAGTTAGAAATTAAATTCAAACAAATGTTAGTTAGAAAGAGTAAGAAAATATAAATATTAACCATACATTAGTTAGAAAATGAAAAATTTAGACAGATGTTCAAAAGTCAATATTGAATCCTCATTATACTGTGCTGATTGTAGGACTGTTGTCTGATCATAAATTGAATTTTTTATTAGTTACACAGTGCAGTTATACTTGGCATATGATAATGCTCATATTGGCTGGTTATATATTAACATTAGTATTATAAATTCGATATATTGAGGATCCCCATCTCGGCTATATTAATGACACTAACAGAAATCCGTAGGATTCACAGACTTACATATACTGGTGTACAATGCAGAGGAAGTTGTAAAAGGTCTCGAGCTGACAGAAACAATACATTTTGCATGTCACCATAGTGTGTATATCAAAGAAGTTTAAAATATTTAATGTCGCCTTTGACAATTTGTAGCTTGTATTAATGAAAGCTCATGCTTGGTAAATAGACATCCACATCTACAGCAATAACACAGCAAGACTGTTTTAATTGATGCATTATTTAAAGATCAGTCAGTGGAGGAATACTTTTTAATCCTTAAACATATCAATTATGACTTAGCATTTCAATTATTAGACCTACACATCTGAGCACATGGAAGAAATACCATGTAAGTAATAATTGGGATATATGATGTTTTGTCAAAACTGTTTCAAACACACCAGATCTCGTAATGTTATAGGCATGAATCATCATATAGGTATTGAATGTGGGCACTCAATAGAACAAGTACATACATGTTGTGTCTAACATTATTGGTAGGCACATATGTTGTCTGTCATACTTATAGATGAAGTTATATCCTTGATATATATCAATAAAAAGAGGCGTCTCATATTATGAAAGCTGTGTTTCGTCAAACTAGTGGTACAATCTCATAACCTTGGATAATGTACATGCATAATGAAATGATGTTTATAGGGAACAAATTGTTCTGAAGTGAGATATGACACGAAGTAGCTACATGATTAAAACTTTACTGGAATACATTCTAACGCCGTTTAGTCCTCTGGTATGTTTTCCTTTGCCTTCATCCAACTTTTTGGGAGCTATAAATTTGTCTGACCACTATAAATTCTGTATAACCCATTATTGGATATAAGTGATAGTGAAAGATTCAGTGATCTGTGGGGACCTTTCTAGTCAGAACAGATTATTTTCCCATTGACAACAATATATTTAATTGATATTGCTGTCAAATGTGGCTTATCCTGGCCTACCAGAAACTATTAACAAATCATCAATTTCCAGTATATATATTGTATGTCATGTGTTGGGATCTCCGATGATGGTGATTGTGACCCCCTGTCAATAAAGCTAGACTCCAGAATGAACATGACTGTAGCTTATAAGCATATGGCACATCTTTTTGACCCCATGACAGAGATTAAAGACTGGGCAGAGTTTCCACCCTATTTCTTTGTCCGGATTGATCTGCCAGCATCTTCTCAACCAAGATACTGAGTCTGGAAGATCTGCTTATGCCATAGGGACATCTTCTGTCAAATCATGTAGCATGCTGATGATAATTCACAATACATCTTAGATCTGCACTGTGTTGGTATACCAAGTTACATGTTAAAAACCCCCCCCAACAGTACCAGTTGGTATGCCAGTCGGGCATTAGATGTGATAGTGTTTACAGAGTGGAACTGAGGTACTTGTAAATGTCAATACCAGTCCTGTGTATGCCAGTCATGCACTGGGGA